ACGAGTGCTAGGAGCTCACATGGTAAAACCATTTCGTTCCAGGAAGCTCCACCATCGTCAGAGCTTACTGCCGGGCACCGAATCATCGTATACGCGGCAATCTGTCGGCATTGAGAACGTTTCCGAGTTGCCGAGTGCATGTGGATAACTGTCATTCAATTTATGTACATACGATGCGCGCTGGCTGGCCAAGACGCACTAACCTTCCAGAAACACTGGGTATCAACATTACGTTGACGATGGAAGAAGCTTTTAGCCGGGAACTTGACCACTATGGGGCCAAGTTTCTCCCTATGGACCGGGGGAAGGCCACCATACTTATCGCTGTCGGGAAACTTTGTGGGGTCTTCAAGTTATCATCCAGGATATCGGTGTGTTTGGGTTTGATTAAACGCACCCCTTGGGTATGTATAATGTACGCGCTCCACCCACAACGCTTAGCATCGAGGCTGACTTTCCATAAGCCAGGTCACTATTGTGTCGGAGTGGTGCCCTGCAGCACTCTGCCATGCATGCATGCATACCTCTATCCTTCTCTTCTCCTTCCAGAATATCCGATATCGTTCCTCAGACATTCAGACGCAGGGAAAAGTTTTCGATTCTTCAAGGTCTTGCTCGATCTGAGGCTATCTACCCGTGCAGCCGCCGAGATACCCTCTACACCGACCGATTGATGCCGATAGATACGGACAGGGCTATTATCGTGTACGAGCGACGAGCGCCGTTTTACCTGGTGTGACTGCATAAGTGCGGAGCACTCTACATTCTCACCACCACACATATGCACCGTCGTCCCATCTCCCTCGTCACTTCCCCCTCCGTTCGGGTGGGTCCGCCTGCACAGTTCCTGCTCCCTCTCGCAGGATGTTTACGTATGTTTGGTTTGAGACCTCCTTTATTTGTTGGGATTCAACCTCATCCGACCAGCACGAGATGTCGCCCAGCTGCCGGTGGCTTCTATCTCATTGCTTCATTTTCCTTGGCCGGATTTTCCACTCCGCGCACTCACTATCGCCATGAGCCATTTACGGCTGGAGCTTCGAAGTTGGGGCAGATGGATTTCGTCCAGCGCGGGGAGCGGGGCGGATACGGTGCATTTTGAGTGGTAACTTTGCGCTGCACGGCCAGCTGGTGCGCCAACGCAATGCGAACCACGTACTCTATCTACGCAGACCTCTATCTACGCGGACCCCTTCCCTTCCATCGATTTTTTTGGTTTTCATCTTTCCTTTCGCACCCGTGAGATGAAATGGGACCGAGGCGTCTCCGCTGCGGAAGGTCGCCGAGAAGCCGTGGAATATTCTAGGGCGCTGCGTGGACGAGTTTTCAAACTCGCTTGAACTCTTGTCTTGTTTATTTCATGCCCGCCGCACAGTCCCCTTCCCCGTGCCCCCATCCCCCGTCCATTCACCGTCCCCAGTCCCCAGTCCCCGTCCCCAGTCCTCCCCATCTTACCCGAGGTTCCGGGTTCACCCTGGTATCTAACTATCCGACCGGGCATGTCGTGGACATTTTGTGGGAGAAATGCGGCAACAATACCTACATACTGGTGTCCGCCCTAACCGGCTGTAACTTGTCCGCCCTGTCCTGTCCTGTCCTGTTGGGAAGCGGCGTGGATGGGGATTCCAATGTCGGTCACACATACATACCTACATCTTGGTCACTCATTTAGAACTTTTTACACTGCATAGTTGCCGGACAGCGATCACCTACCTACTCTACCGTGTGAGTGTGAGTGTGAGTGTCGGAGCCCGGATGCTGCAGCCTGCAGGCCGACTGATACCGTATACGAAGGGTTCCTGGATTGTTTTTGCGGTACTTATGTACGAGCAGAGCGCATGAACTTCTATATGTATGATGTAGGTAGGTATCTAGGTAGGTAGTGCTTCTGCTTCTGCTTCTGCTTCTGCTTCTGTTTGTGAGCTAAGTAAATAGTTAGTGCTCCGCTGCTCTGCTTACTGGGAATGTGGAACTGGACCGTGGACTGGACCATGGACTGGACGCTGCGATGGAAGGAAGTTGGAAGTTGGAAGTTGGAGGATGGAACTCGGCTGGGCGGAGCAGTGGTTGTGGCTGTGGCTGTGGCAGTGGTAGCATACCTAGTTTTGGGGGCTGGGTGATGATAGTAGTTATGGTTATCCCTTGAGCAGAATAATCGCCATAGTTAAAACCATAGAATACCTACGCACCTATGGTCCTCTATTGTCTATATTTACGGTGATATAGCGATCGCCTTGAACCCCGACTCCCCGACTCCCCGAGAGGTTTTTTTGTGCCTTATAAGTTATGCGCTATCCGAGCCTATCTACTCAGTGCTCATGATAGTCATAGTACTTATACATGTATATCCTATCTTTCCTGAGTGACTGAGTCCTCGGCTTGCTGCGATAGATAATGCATCACGACTACCTATTCCCTCGAGGCTCCAATGTGTGCGGCAGCGGTAATGCGGTAATGCGCTTTGGAGTCCGGACTCGGACTCGGTCCGGTGGGTACGGAATGGGAAATGCATACACAAGGTGATATTGCATGTCCGGAAGGGAGGGCAGGCTTCCGCGCAGATATATGCACGCACGCACGCACGGTCGTCGGGTTGACTGCTTGGCTGTGGTGGTAATTGTGGTGGTAAGTATGGTGATAACTGTGATGATAAGTTGATAACTACAATCTCTCCTCCTCCCGACCGGGGACAACCACGGGCTTCCGGACAGGGGAAAACTACGGGCTTCCGAGTCTAGAAGAGCAAGCACAGGCTGTCATTCGGCACCCGTCCCTGATCAGTGCCCAGTGCCCAGTGCTCAGTGCTCAGTGCTCGCCAGCACAAATGATCAAATATTAAACACCATGTGCACCTTATTCCTCTTCCAAGTTCTACCCACCACGCGCCATTGAAAATCCCCGATTCCCCGCGCCTCGAGACTCGAGAGCCCTATTATATGGTAATTTCAGGCTCGCATGTAGAAAACCCCAACCCGCTGGAACTTGGAATAACTCATCCGTCTCTTCTGTTGTTTCGTTTTTTTCTTCTTTCTTTTACACGCTCACAGGAATGACATTGCCACACCCTCCGAGAGTCCGAGCTGATCGGATTGCATACCTATTCGACAGACGCCTTCATTACTCCATCCCCCATTCGCTCTGGCGAAACAACCAACCAGCGACCGGAGTCTAGAGATGCTAATTCGTCCGCGCAGGGCTTGGACTTCTAGGGCGGCGAAGGTGAAGGAGAGTGCGCAGAACGCAGGCAGAACACCATGAACTCATGACAGGCCGAGTTCCAGCCGATGCGGAGGAATCTAATGTGGTGCAGCCCTGCGGGTTGTTGTTATTGCCAGCTGGAAGTTGTGCACTGGGAGGCTTATGCACTGGGAGGCGGGGGAGGCGGCGTATACATACTGGACTGGCGGCCCCAAATACGAGTGAACGAGTGATGACGTACCTGATCTTGACGGCTGAAGTTGGGGCGGGAGAGAGGGAGGCCGTGAATCGTGAATCTCGCACATAAAACAAACTATAGCAGTAGTTATCAGTACATAGCGAAATCGGAAATAGTTTGTACTGTGTAGGAAACGCGCACGGTCGACGATCGTAGTTAGTACCTTCGGTACTTACCGTACCTATTAGTATACAGGACTAAGATAATAATAAAAGGCCGTTGGCAATCTACCTGGACTATCATGGGGCGGTCCACCTCCACTCACTCACCGTTACTCACGCCGCGCTGCCGCAGCGAGCAGTCGTGCACTCGTGCCATTGGGCCGGAGATTAACCAGCCCCAACTTTCAACGTCCAACTTCCAAGTCTCGCACGCGGCACGCGGCGATGTGTAGCACCGTAGTCTCGCAGTCTCACCGTCTCAGAAGATCATCTGCTAGGGCCCACTTCCCCAGGTTTCTTACTGCTCTGCTCACTGCTGACTGGCAACACCTTCTCACCGTTACTCACGCCGCACTTAGATCTGGCCGCACTGCCGCTGTCGTGACCACTAACCAGCCCTAACTTCTAAGTCTATTGTCTCGCACCCGGCACGCGGCGATGTGTAGTACCGCTGCCTTGCTGTCTCGCAGTCTCGGAAGATCATTGCCCAGGGCCCAGGGTGCTCTGCTCACTGCTCACTACTCGCATCAGTAGTAGCAAAAGCAGGAGCAGCAGCACCAGCATCACCGATCCGATCCCTCGAAGCCCCAGTGCCCAGTGCCCAGTGCCCAGGGCCCAGGGCCACGACCAGAAGCCTCACCATATCATAAGGGGCCCTCACGTCCCTACACGACTCGGTTGGGTGGCGGTGGTCCGTAGATCACCAGCCGCCCGCCCGCCTCGTCTAAAGTGCACTCGGGGCTACTAGCGCCCCGCCCAAGCACAAGTCAAGGCAAGTCGAGTGGTGAGATTTCATGATCCATCATCCATGATCCACTACCACTGTGGTTACTGGTCTGTGGTCTATATATGGTCGGGTGATGGGTGGGATGAGGGATGTTGGAGTGAGTGACGGTGTCGGTGTCGGGAAGTTCTGGGGCCGATGGGGCCGATGGATGGGGCTGTTGAGTGGAGTAGACATGCAAGGGAGAGGAGGAGGGCGGGGATGGGGGGGGGAGGGAGGAGGGGGGGGGGGGAGGGGAGTGCCGGTAAGGGGAGTAAGGGGGACCCTAGAATCTGGAATTTGGAATCCGGATCATGGATGGTAGGTGGACCGTGGACTGTGGAAGTGTGCACTGCAATGCAACGTGCATCGTCCGTGCTCGCAGCTCGACCGCGCTTCTCCCCCCATTCCCTATCATGAGTCCATGACCTCATAATGCCTCCGGATCGAGATTTGGGCGATGGCAACGGTCGTGACGGTTCAGACTTCAAGGCATCGTTTCCGAGTGGTCAGGACTCAGAGTCTCGAACGAAACACCACGAGAAGGCCCGTTGGAAAGCCCCCCCTCCCAACCAAAAGCACGTGGAACACGGTTCAGTTGGTGGCTTGCACACGTTTCGAGTGAGTGAGGCGGAAGTTTGGTTTCCAAAGCTGGCCCCTGGGGCCCGGGGGGGATATGGTATTCTTTCCATGCCATCTATGAACAGACTTTAATACCGGTAGTCCGCCTCCTCATCCTTCCTTCCATCCATCCATCCCTTCCATGTCGGTTTTCTCCGCTGGACCGATTCCTCCTCCATGCTCCCCTTCGGAAGTTCCGCGAAAAAAAAAATGAAAATGAATGAAAAACAAAGTCGCCCAATAAAAGTATATACAGCACAAACAAAACAACCAGCATAACTCCCGCTAAGTACGGGACAACAAAAACCAAAAACCAAGACCAAACCAAACCAAACCAAAATAGTAATAATAATAATAACAACAGCCCCCTCCCGCTAATAAAGAATACACCAGAGTTCAGAATACACAAGTAAGTAGTAGCTAAAGAGCTATCGGCGCATCGCCCGCGGCGCCACTAGAAGAAGTAAATGTTTTCGGCGAAGAGCACGCACTGACGGCGCTCAACGAGCTGACGGACGGAGTCCGGAACCGCAGCGACGGCTTCGGCTGGTAGAACTCGACGGGGGGCGGGGTGATCGCCGGCGTGAACATTGCCGCTAGCTGCTGGCGCTGGCGGTCGGTGTGTTCATAATGCTGTGGGGCGGGTGCGGGTGTCGGTGGGGATGGTGGCTGCTGTGGTGTTGATGTTATTGCTCGGGGTGGCTGGTGTTGCTGCCGCTGCTGGTTCGGCGGACACACCGCCGCCGCCGCTGCTGCTGCGCTTTGGCAGCCGCGGTGATGCTCCACGGGCGTCGACGACATGCTGCGGTTGATGGTGGCCGTCGGTATGCTGTGCCCATTCATGAATATATTGACGTCCAGCTGCTGACCTGGAAGTTAGCAACCAGGCCAGCCTCGCTGTGAGCGGGGGAGGGGGTGGTAAGTACTCACGATGATAGGAGGTGGCGAGTCTCTCCGGCGGCGGCGCCATCGACGACCGCGTGAGCCCCCCGAGCCAACGCGGCGGTGGTGAGAGCGCGCAGAGGCTGATGAGCGCTCTAGGTGCTCGGCCGAGTCGACTTCGATGTCTCGGACTTGGCTCTGGGAATTCGTAAGCATTAGGAGGGGATTTGGAGCGACGGAGTGAATTACAGGAATCAATGGCCGTGCGGCGTCATATAGGTAGTACTCCTCGCCCTGTGTCTGGGGTTAGCATTGTGTTGCAAGAGAGGATGGCTTGGAGGACGGGCGACTGACGTTCATGATCCTGACGGCGGGATGCACCGAGGCACCGCCCCCGAGATAGCTGGTGATGTTCTTCCGCAGGAAGTCGAAGTCGATGTTATTGGCATTGAGTCGGTAAGTGTTTCGTTTCTGTGGGCGTTCCCTGAAGCCGGTAGAGAACATTGAATTTGAATACGAAGACATGATGCACTGCAAGCCGTTGTTATTAGTGGCTGGGGAACGAACGTGACACCGACCCTACCTGTTGGGGGCGACAGGGGTGGGGGATGATATTTTTGAACCTACCAGCTAAAAGGCAGAGCGAAGAAGGCACTGCACGGGGGGAAAGAGAGAACGGACACAAAGTGATTGCTGCTCAAAAAAAACTCGAGGGACTGGAGATGGCCCCAAGTGGTATCTATAACACTCCTGCGGCGGGGCCCTACCACGCAAGCTCTCGTTGGGTCCGCATTCTTTTCCGGCGCGCGCGCCAGAAAGACTTTCCCAGCCAACGAGCTACCTATCCGCTCGCGAGCGAGCCAGCGGCGAGGAAACAGGGCGGACGAACATCACATCATGCGAGCGAGGGAGGGACGGTAATGTGTCCGCCCTATTATTACTCCACCACCACGACTACTACCACCACCACCACCACCACCACAATCAACGCGCCTCGCCGGACGCGGCGTCTTGAAGCTGCCCAGCTGCAAGCAGGCAGGACCACTACCGTCCGCACTTTCACCGGACTAGATATGGGTTCCTCGGAATCGGCTGGCGAACCAACGGCGCAAGCAAACAGAAGTCGGGTTTCAGGCAGTTAAGTAGGTAGGTAGGCGTCCGGTCACATCCCGCCTGCAGTCAGTCGCAGGAAGCACGAGCTATGTTCGGTACTAACTACTATATACTAGTAGTAATCCCTTGTTTAAGGCTGCAGAATAGTTGTTCGGCTACCTACGTGTTTGCGTCCCACAGAATGCTAACTAAGCACTAACTAGTAGTCTACATGACCACTGGAGTCAAACAGCAGGCTCCTCAGCGAAGATGACATAGACCAAGTAAAGTAGTTGCTTACCTATGGTACTTCCTCTACTTACCCACATGCAACCCACGAGTCGTACCTCCGGTTCCGATGTAGCTATATAGTACCGGTACGTCTTCCTTGGACAGATCCCCCAGGATCATATCCTCGAGGAAAGGTACATATGTCCTCACGCATATAGGTACATAGCAATCCCCAAGAAAAACAATCGTTATCGTGGCCACCACCGCGTCCCCGCACGAAGAGGAAAAGATCGAAGCGGCAATCAAACCGTGGCCCTTTGTTTGGATCGTGTGTTGGTTAGCTACTCAATGTACTTTGTTAGTTAGCGGCACAGGCACTCTCAGTAGTTATTAGGTATCTAGCGGTACTATAGGTATACTAGTAATAGTAATATAGGCACTCTCGGCATCTACGCTACGAACTACATATGTAGTGACTTTTTACTATACATCAGTCCAGCATCACACCCCCCATGCATGTCTTGCCTCTTTTCTCCTGGATCCACAAGAAACCAGGTAGAGTACGTAGTCACGCCCCATCCTCACCCCGCGCCTCGCAGATCCACCGTGTTGGAGCGTGTGCGGAGGTTGTGTGTTTCCCCAAAACGAGCGTCGAGAGCTGCCAGATCACTTCATGATCCCGGCCTGCTAATAGATATTCGGCAATCTGAGGGAGCCTGGCACCTGATGGGAGGGAGGGAGGGAGGGCACGACAGCCTCGTCTCGTCTTGGAGTGTATGTGTGTATGTATGTGTGTAGGGAGTCAGAGTAAGACAGATGTCCGGGACCAGGGTTGGTCCTATAGTATAAGTAGGCAGTCGCATCGTGCGTTTGCCCTGGGAAGTTGGGGGAACGCGTTACGCCCATGACCTCAGACCGGACCGAGTGCGGAAATATTCATCATCGTCATCATCGTCGTCGTCTTGCATATGAAGTCACTCGGGTCACTTGATATTCGACAATTCCTTCCCCCCCGCCCCCCCGCCCCCCCCGCCCCCCACCCGCCCCACCGTTTCCCCGGCACACAAGCGGACGCCAGTAAGATGAGCGGCGCGCACCGGTGATCGGATGTACCAGCGCGGGTGTCACCGGACGGAGAATCGTACTTACCTACCTGACTGCTACATACCGGGTACGGCGTGGCGATCATATCGTCGACATTCATGTGAGCTAGGGGGCCCCGGGACTGGGGCGGGTGGGGCTTCGGACATTCATCACTGGGGGACTAAGGATTATGCTCCGCGACGGGGAAAGATGGCTATGTGTGTGTGTGTATGTGCATACCGGTATGGGGAGTAGGTAAGTACATGGTACCGTACCTACCTGTGTACATAAATATGTACCTACGTTGCTCTGCCCTTCGCCGACAGAATTTGTGACGAGGCGTCGAGGCCCCAACGGCTGTGCAGGTTCAAACTTCAATGACTGCTTGCTTGCTTGCTTGCTTGCTTGCTTGCTTGCTTGCTTGCTTTCTGGTGGGGGGTCGTTTGCATCAGCATAAAATTCTCACTATGCGTTGGGCGGGGGGTCGCTAACTACCGCCAGTTATCGGCCAGCCAACTGTTGAGACGCACGCCAAAAAGGTGAAGTTTGGGGCGACGAATCAGAATACCGGTATGTAGGAGTTTAGGAGATGTGTTGCTGCTTGTCGGGACGAAACTTCATAGGACCGGCCTCGATAGTTCGGTATCCCATGTCCGTCCCCGTCACGGACGAAAGAGTTATGAACCTCCGCGGATCGCCGTATTATACAGTATTATACATACTGGATGGATGGATGGATGGAAATGCAGCAATTTCAAGGTGGATGGGTACGGGTTTGCACTGCGCAGTCCGCGACACCGGTACCTGTTCGCAAGTCTGTGCGAGCCACGCAGTCAGAGATTTGCTAGCATCCTGTCCGGCAGCACAGTGAGCGGTCCCCGTCGGGCTGCATGCCGGGTGGGGGAGTCCGACATGCCTAATTCGTGGCTGACAATCCACACCAACCTGCGATCGGGCTTGCGGTATCGGCGGATCATGCAATCTTATTGGTATATATGTATGATACTATACATACTTGCATACATACCTGTTATCCGGCTCACGCAATGCGTCGAGATAACTATGGCGCTGTGGACTTGTGGGGGATGGGTGCAGAAAAGAAAGAAAAAACCCCTCCTCCCGGAGGCCGGTGCAACAATGGTTACCTGGGTAAAGTACTTGGTACCGTACCCAAGTACCCACTCACCTACTTCACTACCCACTTACTCACCTATGTATATGGGCTAGTCAAACTTATCGCACAATTTCAAAGTTCAGGCCCACCAGCAACAGACAGATGCATCCCAACACCGACACGACGGGACTCAAGCCCTAACCCTGGGCTCGAGCAGCCCCTCTTCTCCTGCTCCATCACGTCCGGTATCTGCAGCCGGCCAATCCGTGTGCCGTTCGTCGTCTCCAGAGTCCAGCACCGCTCAGCCCGTGTTCCTTACCATCTATCTATCCAGACCGCGAACGATATCTACCATCTACGCTACGGTACGCTCTGAATTGCTTGGAGGGCCGACCATCTGAAAGCCACCCTACGCCACAGCGCGCCTTAACTGGTCGGTTGGCGTGGAAGACGAACGAACGAGCGCACCCTGTGGATCCTCGATCAGGCAGTGATTGAGTTGGTGAGTGCAGTTCCCACTCACTGCCTGGTCCACATATTCCTCCATTGCAATCGCACGCGCGGGGAAGGGAGGTTTCTGCCTGGACGGAGTCCAAAGTGCCTGTCGAGTACCCATCTACATACCATACATTCTCTGCCGGATCTGGTGGCGATACTCCACATACTCACTCTGACTCCTACTCCTACCTACCAACGTGGCCTTCCCAACCTTTGAGACGCATCAGACTCGGACGCATGTCGCAACCAACAAAGGAGCATCAGGAAGTGCACATTGCGGAAGTGTACTTTTTTGGGTCTTTGAGTCTTGGAGTCTCCGAGCCTTTAATAGTCTTCGAGTCTTCGAGTCTTCGCCGGTTCTTCCTGTTCGCTCTCGTGTAACGGTTGCAAGCTCCCGCGGACATCATCATCATTGTCATTGTACCCATCCCCCGCTCGTCTCAAGCTACCTCGCCAAACCGACCCGTCAAACCGGGCCTCGCCCCGCACTGCGCTCTAGCTACTTTAGGTACCTACCCACCTCACCAAACCTACACTCAACCTACGCCTACACCTACATCTAGAACCCATACTCAAACCTCCACTCACCCCTCTACTCGATCCTCCCACTCCATCTCCATCTCCACTCGATCCTCTGTCCAATCTTCACTTATATCTGCACTCAAAATTTTCACCCAAACCTAGATCACTGTTCTTCGAGTACCTACTGTTCTTTAAGCATCATTTGAGCATCCCCATACCTCACCTCGTTACGCGTCTTCAGATCCACCGAATCCGCACCCCACAACCCGTTAGTTGGAGAAAAGAGCCGATATTTGAACGCAATGCCTCGCAAAAGGAAGTCTGCTGCTCCCGGTGCGGGGGACACCTTAGCTCCTCCGGGGATGAAGCCGCCATCAGCTGCCCCGCCGGCCGGCAAACCGCCGCCGGCACAGACCGGAGCATCATCTATTAAATCGCCGCCGCAGCAGCAAACTCGGGTTACAACTGGTGGTCCCCCGCCGCCCCAGGGCCAGCGAGGACCTCCTCCCAAGTCAATGGCGCCAGCCTCGGCACAGGCCGCTAAACAATCAACTTCATCGTCGGTACCCGCTACCGGCTCAACCGGACCACCGGCCGGCGAGCCTCAGATGGGGCTCGACCAACTCGACGAGGCAGCATTCCGTAAAGTTATGAGATCCGAAATGCTCATGATGATGCAAGAAATCGAAAAGTACGGATGGTCCTCCCCTCCCGCTCCTACCTATATCGTCCCGGACTGGGTCATGGAGGACGGCCACCACCCCCTGCCCGAGTGGATGTTTGCTCCCAACGGATATCTCGATTGCGATCCGACCTATGATCCCTGGCCCAATAAGGACTTTGTGGCCGGCGAGATATACGAGACAAGCTTGACCGCCCCTGATGAATTCCCGACGCAGGGAGGTGGCGGGGGTGGATATGGAGGGGGAGGCGACCGCGGCGGGTATGGAGGCGACCGTGGCGGGTATGGAGGCGGCGACCGTGGCGGCGGTGGCGGTGGCGGTCGTGGCGGTCGCGGTCGTGGCGGTCGCGGTCGTGGCGCCTGTAACTCGATGCGTGACAGGGGCTCCTGTCGGTTCGGTACCGACTGCGCGTTCTCTCACGACATTTCGACGTTCTCGCTTGGTGATCGTCCCGGCGGAGGGGGTGGAGGCGGTCGAGGTGGTGGAGGGGGTCGTGGCTGGTAAAGTCGCTTTTTCCCTGTCGCCCTCGAGGTGTGTGTTCGGCACTGCGACTTGTCTCCGGCTTAGTGTGTTTGTTTTTTTACTAATCGATACAGCCTGACGTCTACTCTACTCGTCCTGTCTGTATCGTTTTTTTATTTGTTTTTTTTTATTTGATGCTACGAGTATCATTGGAATCGAATGTTTCAGGAGGATTTAAATTGTTTTTTTGGTTCACGGCTGCCCCATGGTTTCGTTTGTTTGTCATCGTCTTGTCCTGTTTGTGTGTGTGTGTGTGTCTTTCTTTTTTGACTGTTTTTGATATACGAAAAACAAAAAACCCTTTAAACCCCCAATGACCGTATGACGATGATGAGGAGGACGGGGGGTGTATGTGACCGCGATGCAGAACCTGCCGCTTTTTGGATTGAACTGCTCCGACTTCTCCTCACGGGCACTGTGTATCATACCGGTACATACTTCAACGATCAGAGTTTGCGGAGATCACAGTTTAAAGCCGACCGAGAGTTGAGTCGATGAGAAGGAGCATGGAGCATCGAAATGCTGGGGGTCGAGACGGCGTTCTGGTAGCTCGATGGTGTAAATTGAAGTCTCTATCGCTACATTTTTATCGTGGCTCTGTTTTTTATTTTTATTTTTATCATCTTTAATCATGGCAGTTTCACTTCCGTGTTCACCGCAGTTTCACCGACTCTCCGACTCTCCGCGAGCTTAATCGGTTGCTTAGTTTATGGTGGTCGAGTTTGGCGCTATTCGAGCAAGTTTGTCGTTATTCGGGTAAAAACGTTCAGAGGTTCGGAGCGAGTGATGTCGTGCGTGTGCGGCGTGTGGGTGTGGTGGGAGCGGTGACATGCATCCACCGACGTGCACGATTAATTCGAGCATTTTTGCTGATGGCATATGGGTTGCATTCGACCTTCGCAGATCGTGGCAGTTGCATATTCGTTTCCACCACGGCACTGTCGCCGCGAGCTTGGTTGGTTTATTGGGTTGTGGTGGTCAGGTCTGACACTGTTCGAGCACGGTTGGCGCTATTCGCGCAGAAAAGTTCAAAGCGAGTGATGTCGTGCGTGTGCGGTGTGTGTGCGGCGTGTGGGTGTCGTGACAGGCATCCACCAACGTGCACGATTAATTCGAGCATTTTTGCTGATGGCGTATGGGTTGCATTCGACCGTCGTAGAGCATCGCAGTTGCATATCCGTTTCCACCGCGGCACTGTCGTCGCGAGTTTGGTTGGTTTGTAGCGGGCAAGAGAGAGAGAAAACATTGATTTATTGTCGCATACGATCTTGCTAGAGTAGACGATGGCGACCGCAAACCCAACCTTTCCTGTCAGCTCCGCTGGGGTAGAGAGAGCTCTACATGCCGGCCCGTTACTGCGCTGCTGTCTACTGTCGTCATAGCGGCCAAATTCGGCATTTTTATTTTTATTTTTAGTTATTCGTTAATTGCATGCGACGGTGGGATCTATGTAGATCATAATATAAAACCAAATTCAACACTATTCGAATAAAGATGGTCGGGCCAAGTCAACCGAGTGATGTCGTGTGTATGCGTTTGTGCGAGTGGTGACACGCCGTACCTGCAGATTTCGACGATCAAACACGGACCGGTTGGGATCGTTTGCGCATTGCAGCGTACAAACACGGTATTTTCACCGTCGTGGATCCCGCTATAAGCACAACCTCTTCTGCCCCACCTCCTCCCTCCCTTCTTCTCATCACCTCGTCTATCCTCCTCAGTACATCTTCTCTGTGGATCTCCCCGGTAGATCTCCTCATCCCTTCTTCTCATCACCTCGTCCCTCTACCTCAGTAAATATAGCCGGAACAACTTCCCGGTATATCTACTCTGTACGTCTGCCCCCTCTTTCTCACTCCCCCTTCACCCTTCATCCCGAACAGCCATCATTCTTTTCTCATATCTAACACGTTGAAAAGACATACGATGCACAGCGACAGCGACCACAACATGATGGACATCGATTAAGCCAGCGAATCTTCCGCCCATCTGGTTGGAGAGGAGGATGCCGATCGTGACTATCCAGCTTTCGCTCACTTCATCGAGAGTGACGCCAACGAAACGGCCAAGAACTGCGCGAAGGCTCTCTCGGAATGGGCTGTCAGGTGTTCGGACATTCTGAAGAGAAGCCTGATCAAGTACATGGAGGCCATGTGGTATTACGATTACGTGAGCCGTGTCGACAAGAAGACACCTCACGAAATCAACTGATCTTTTTTAATTGGGAGAACGCACTCGGAAACACGTTGAAGGCCGAGCTGTGGAGTGAGAACCTCAAGGCGCTCGAGGAAATCCGGAAACTCGCCCAGCACATTCCGTCGAAGAGGATCAAGCGGGACGAAGCCTATCATCACAAGTTGATGGATAGCATCAAGGCACCACTCTGATAGCCTAAAGAGGACGTCCAGGTGGAAACTCGACTGGACAAGCTCTATGCTGCCGTCCAGGGACGTTTTGAAGAATTCCAGCGTGACCAATCCGCATTCAGCGGGGTCATTAACGTCCTGCGACACAGCGATCTCCGCATCTTTCCGACCTCGCCACCACCACAGCTACCGCGGCTCTTCGATACGGATGTGGAAGCCATTGAGAAGTCAATGCTGGAGGCATACGAGTACTAAGCCTCCTTGCTGAAGCATGTTTTGCAAGCGCACAAGTTTCGACTGTGGATGGTAAGCCGACTCGGCGATGGCGATCCCCCTCCTCCCCACGGCCCCGATTTGGAGGTTATTCCGCCAACTTTCTTCATCCGTTGGAACTGGCATCTTGGCACCGATTCGATATCCAGAAGAGCTGTGCAGCTCGATAGAAACTCACCACACTCTAACCTTAGTCCCAATCTATGCACACCAAAAGATATGTCTCTCGCAATCATGGGGGGGACACCGAAGGAGGAGGAAGCCGCAAGGAAGGAGAGAGCTACTTTCAACAAGAAGTGGGCAGCCAAGCTGAAGGCTGCGGACGGTTACCTCCAAACGCTGCTGCGTGGGATTCAGCAGCAGGAAAAATGTAGATTTTGCTACATTCTGAGTCGGGATGGCAGCCTTTGTTGCGCCCAGGATACGTTTGTGTCCTGCATCACCTGCTCCCGTAAAGGACTGGTGTGTGACATTGTGACGAACGTCGATCCGACGAAGATGCTGTTGCAAATTACCCGGCTGAAGATACGTCAATGGCCTCCGAGCGGCGAAGGCTTTCCGCGTGTAAGGGCATTCATGACTAGCAAGAATGCCGATATCGAGCGAAGGTTCATTACGGCATACTACGCATCCCACTCACGGGCCAAGTGCATCCAATGCACGTATGACATCACCAAAGACGGTTGCGACAGACTCAATTCCATTAAGTCACTGAAATATTTGAGGGAGCTAATCGAATTGTCAAACTCGGCCTCGCTCGCGTGCGTTGCATGTGAGAAGGCGAAGGAGTCCCAGAATGTTCCCGAAAGATCGCGTTGCAAGACCCTATGGAAGGACATGGAGTCAGGATGCGTATGATTCCTCTGTTATATATTTGCCGTGGAGGTAAGCTAACTTGCCGCCCAGTACTACTTCGTCGAATTCGTCTAGAAAGGCGTGGACAGGACCTCCGATGAGGGTCGAATCCGAGTAATCAAAGCTCCGCTCTACGAGGACACCGGAAAGACCGACGAGGAGATACAGTCCCAGCAGGTGCTGAAGGATCTGGGTCCGTCTCAAGAGGACACTATCCCGGTTGAGAAACTTGACCCCGAGCAGGCGAATTCTCCGGATGAACCAACCCAGCTTGTCGTGCGTAGTGGAGCTATGGTCACCGCCTTCCCCGCCGATGGTCTTCCCCGCGCCAGGCGGCCCAGAAACCCACTTCGTGCACGTGTGGTGAACCCAGAGCTCCGCGAGAACTCTCATGCGATAAGGAGAGACCCGAACACGCCTGCTCAGAACCGTGCTGCACAGGATCTCAACCGTACGAGGAGATTGATTGAAGATTTTCAACCCCCCCGCGGGCCCCGTGTTGCACAGGATCCTAACCATATGAGGAGAATGATTGCTGCTGCTCAGTCCCCCACGACTCGTCCCGCGGTGTTGGTATCAATCAGGCCGGTCAAGCCCCTCGCAGACACAATGATCCTAAGGATTCCACCAAGGCGAAACGTCGGCGCGATGAATAAATGCACCGACCACTTGAATCACCTCATCTGTCACTCACATACCTGCCTTGGACGTGCGACGAATGTGGAGTGATGCGGTGATCCTCTTTTCAATGTCCATCACTCGTGTGCGCTTACTTTTTTCGGTTTGCTACCGTTAACAGGCCTTTTTCTTTTCTTCGGTCGTGTGTCGTTTTCTGTTGGCCGCAAAAGTTCTGCATTCTGTTTCATTTCTTGTTTTTATACGATTCCATGGGTCGTAGCTTTTTTTCAGATTTCATCCCTTGCTAGGCTACAATCCCTTTTCTTTTCAAATTTCATTGCTCACCTTTTACCATAGCTTTTCGTCCGAATAATACACTGTTTTTTTTGCGAATGTCAACTCGAAGCCCTCGAAATTCGTGTTGTTTTGTCTCGCACCATCCATGTAGTGCCTTAGCATGGTATCCAGTATGTAACAACGAGTATAGTGAGGGTCTGGTGGGAGAAAACGTGTGTGCTGTGTAGCAGTCATGTAATCTGCGGAAGAGATCTCAGATGGCCCGGGGTAGCCGTCGTTATCGTTCCAACTCCCGAAGATGAACTCCGTAGAAGGTCCGATGTCGGAATCAGGGATTGCCGGCTTATAATAGGTAGACTATAGTTATTCGGCCCGGACGTGACTTTAAGCCCTACCTAGTAGTTGGTCTAGGGACTCCGGAGGCCATGTAGAGTATCTGAGTACCTAGCTGAGTATGGATACGACGAGTCAACGACCAACAGTGCACGTGATTAGATTTCTGTGCTTAATAGTTGGAAATATGAAACCTGGAACTGTGCCATTATAGTAGTTACAGTCGCACATCACCAAGAACGTTCCGCTCGAGGATGGGTATGTAGCAGCGCAGCAGTACACACGATGTCACTCGTAGATCGAGTGATTCTGTGTGATCCCGGTGGGTGACGGGTCGGGATCTTGCATAGCACGGAGAGG